CCTCATGGTCCACCCGCCTCGGCCTCCCAAAGTGCTGGGATTACAGGCGTGAGCCACTGCACCAGGCCTGAGATTTTTCTTTATCTTTGGAAAGCTATGACTGCAGCGAGCAAACTTTCAAATAATGCTTTGCCATTTTTACTTTCCCTCTCAAGGATTCCGGGAACTATAGTTTGTAAAATTATCGCACAGCATGTGTTTTATTTTTACTTCTGTTGGCTGTTAAGGCCTCTCTGGACGGTGGCTATAACCTATAGCGTTGCCCAGTATGACTCAGGGTTTGGTACTGGCTGTGCCTTTCATGGGATGCTTACTTATCCTGATGGATGGCCTGAAGCCGAACTGTCTAGCTTACATCCAGGTATCCTTCTCAGAGAGTACTTGTTTATACTGTAAGACACCCTGTGCTCCCGTCTGACCTGTGTCTAGTTTATTTCTACCAAGGTAACCACTCTTTAGGAGAGTGCTACGTGGGAGAAAAGTGAGGCGTCACTGAGTAGCTGGGACTACAGGTGCCCGCCACCACGCCCAGTTAATTTTTTGTATTTTTAGTAGAGATGGGGTTTCACCGTGTTAGCCAGGATGGTCTTAATCTCCTGACCTCGTGATCCACCTGCCTCCGCCTCCCACAGTGCTGTGATTACAGGCATTAGCCACTGTGCCCGGCCTGTCAGGTATTTATAACTCCCTTCTACTGCTACCCATTCTGTATTCTCTTTGTCTTCAGCAAGCCCCTTTGCTGGTCCTGGGTCTTTACCTGGCAGGGTGATGCAAACTTTCATTCCTGAAACGTCTAGAGCAGTTGTATTCTTGTCTGGAATAGTTGTAATAATCCATTGAACTTAATAACAGGGAATAGGTAATACTAAGACTTTGTTTCAGTCCATTTTCTGTTACTGATAACAGAATACCTGAAACTGGGTAGTTGATAAAGAAAACACATGTATTTCATACAGTTATGGAGACTGAAAATCCAAGGTTGACAGGTTGTATGTGGCGAGATCCTGTTGCTGGTTGGGACTCTCTGAAGAGTTCTGAAGTCTACAGGGTATCATATGGCAATGGAGTAGAGCTTGCTGACATGCAAGATCATGTCTCCCTTCTTATAAGCCACTCTTCTCTCGTAATAGACTATTAATCTTTAAATATTAATGTATTGATCCATGAAGGGATTAATTCACTTATGGGATCAAACTCTTCATGATCCAATCACTTTTTAAAAGTCTCAGAGTTCAACACTGCCATGTTAGGGATGAAATTTCAGCATAAAATTGGAAAGGAAGCAATATTCCAACCCTAGCACTGCACTTCTGACTCTCTAAAAATCACACCCTGTCACAAAAGTTTTATTTCATTCCTATCGTTCCAAGGCTTAAATTGTTCCAGAACTGACAGAAAGTTCTAAAATCTAAAGTCTCCTCTGTCAGCCCATGAAATCAAAACAAGTTTTCTTGATACAAAACTCAGCAGTTGGGTTGTTAATGCCCAATGGGTTCATGTAGGCTGCTGCCCAGATAGAGCCACTTTACCAAGACAAGGGAATTACTATAGAGAACATTTTATACATGTAGAGCCAGCTAAAAGAGAGAGCAGAGTTGTCATATTACTCTAAACTGCTTCTCCAAATACTCAGAGGCTAGAGTTTTTATAGATAGATTTGTGGGCAGGGGGTTAGAGAAAGGGACATGCTGAATGGTTGGGTCAGGGATGAAATCTTAGGAAGTCAAAGCCATCTTCTTTTCTGACTCAGCTCCTGGGTGGGGGCCGCATATCCAGATGAGCCAGTTTACTGATTTGGTTGGCACCCGCTGATCTGTCAGAATGCAAGTTATGAGAAATACCTCAAACAACAATCTTAGGCTTTACAATAGTAATGTTTTGTATAGGAGCCACAGGGGAGTTTATTAATCTTGTGGCCTCTGATTGTTTGACTCCCGAGCCATGCTTTCTATTATGGTGGTTAATTTGTTAGTTTTACAAAGGTGATTGTGGTCCCCAAACAATGAGGGGTTTTGTTTCAGGGAGGAGCTGTTATTATCTTTGTTTCAAAATTCAGCTACAAAGTAAATTTCTTCCAAAGTGGGTTTTGTTTTTGCCCAGGAATAAACAAGGGCTGCTTAGAGGTTGAATGCAAGATGAAGTCACTTAGGTCATTATCTCTCTCCCTGTGGTAATTTTCTCAATTACTGTTTTTGCAAACGGGATTTCAATTTCCCCTTCTGAGTTTCATTGCATCTTATTCTTAAGGTGTGAGGTACAGAGTTGGGAAAAGGTCAAAGACCATTCTTCCTGCTGACAAGGGGTATACTTGAGGTAGGGTTTGGCCCCAGAGTAAATGGAATGAAACTGCTTTGCAGCTGTCTGCATGTATTCACAGGTGCCTGGTTGAGGTTCCTAGGCTTGTATGACAAAGATGTTAGTACTGTCATCCACAGTTTTAGTACAGCACTTCAGTGAATAGCAAACTCTAGGATAATGGGTCCTAATATAAGGAGTGGAAGTCCTAGCTTCAGAAGTCCTTATATAATTCGTCTAAATCCCTGAAGGATTAGAGTGAATAGCCCTAAGAACCAATCAGACTTGGGGTCAATAATCAAGAGAGATTTGGGTCAGAGGTTGTTAGAGAAATTGGGATAAACAGGAAAGAGCAAATTTAAATATGCCATCTCATATCTTTTTAGTTAGTTTCCTAATTCTCAGAGTATATCCTAGCTGTGTTTCATTCCAGTAGGTGTCACTGCAAATGATGTAGGCTCCCTTATGTGATTAAGGCAAAAAATATTTTTAATAACTGGCATTTGTATGGAAATAGAAAATAGTAACAAAGGTTGATGTTGGGCACAATGTATCCAGATGTTAGATTCAAAGCATTTTTAAGTTGCAAAGGAGGATAGCGATGACAATCTCACGTATTTTTCATCTGTATCTCAAGGGATAAGCTTCAGCATGCAGGGCCTCCGGAAGAAGGTCGTAGCCATTTCATTGAGTCCAGGTCAGAAAAGTGGAAGAAAAATGTGAACGTATTCGTTTGAGGACTTTAGCTCTGAGAGCTTTGAGGATTCAGTCCAAAGTGCAGAAAATAATAAAAAGCTCAAAAACAATGGACAAGACTAGAATCTAACAACAGTTGTGCTATAGTATTTTTCTGAAATACAATGTTTCGCTCTCTAGTTTTCATTTTTATTTAAGACATATCATAGTAGGACGCAAGGAACAGTTGGATTGTTGTTAATGCCCAATGGGTTCATGTAGGCTGCTGCCCAGATAGAGCCACTTTTACCAAGACAGGGGAATTTACTATAGAAAATTTTATGCATGTAGAGCCAGCTAAAAGAGAGCAGAGTTTTCATATTACTCTAACTGCTTCTCCAAATCTCAGAAGCTAGGATTTTTATAGATAGTTTTGTGTGCAGGGGGTTAGAGAAAGGGACCTGCTGATTGGTTGGGTCAGGGATGAAATCTTAGGAAGTCCAAGCCTTCTTTGCTGGCTCAGCTCCTGGGTGAGGCCATATCCAGATGAGCCAGTTTACTGGTTTGGGTGGCACCCGCAGTCTGTCAGAGATACAGGGTGAGAAATACCTTAAAAACCAACCCAGGTTTTACAATAGTAATGTTATGTATAGGAGGAGCCACTGGGAGTTTATTAATCTTCTGGCCTCTGATTGTATGACTCCCGAGCCATGCTCTACTATGGTGGTTGAATTTGTTAGTTTTACAAAAGGTGATTGTGGTCCCCAAACAATGAGGGTTTTGTTTCAGGGAGGAGCTGTGTAATATATCTTTGTTTCAAAAATTCAGCTACAAAGTAAATTTCTTCCAAAGTGGGTTTTGTTTTTGCCCAGGAATAAACAACGGCTGCTTGGAGGTTGAATGTAAGATGAAGTCACCCAGGTCATATCTCTCCCTGTCGTAATTTTTCTCAATTCCTGTTTTTGCAAACAGGATTTCAATTTCCCCTTCTGAGTTTCATTGCTTCTTATTCTTAAGGCGTGAGGTACAGAGTTGGGAAAAAGAGCCAAAGACCATTCTAACTTCTTTCTGCTGACAGGGGGTATACTTGAGGTAGGGTTTGGCCCCAGGTAAATAAGATAAGCTGCTTGTAGCTGTCTGCATGTATTCGCAGATGCCTGGTTGCAGGGTTCTAGGCTTGCATGACAAGTGTTAGTACTGTCATCCACAGTTTTAGTACAGCACTTCAGTGAACAGCAAACTCTAGGATAATGGGTCCTAATGTAAGGAGTGGAAGTCCTAGCTTCAGAAGTCCTTATATAATTGGTCTAAATCACAGAGGATTGAAGTGAATAGCCCTAAGAACCAATCAGACATGGGGTCAATAGTCAAGAGAGATTTGGGTCAGAGGTTGTTAGA